CAGCTCTCTGCTGTGGCCTGGGAGTGCAGTGGAGGATGGCCCAAGTCCTTGGGCCCTGCACCCCATGGGAGACCAGGAGAAGCACCTGGCTCCTGGCTTCGGATCAGTGCGGTGCGCCGGCAGCAGCGGCCATTGGGGGGTGAACCAACGGAAAAGGAAGACCTTTCTCTCTGTCTCTCTCTAGAGCACTGTACACTCTGCCTGTTTAAAATAATAATAATAATCAGGATCACTATCCATCAGAGAAATGCAAATCAAAACCATAATGAGGTTTCCCCTCACCTCAATTAGAATGGCTTTCATGCAGAAATCAACAAACAACAAATGCTGGTGTGGATGTGGGGAAAAAGGTGCAGCGAATGTAGAAGACATTACAGATATACCTCAGAAATCTGAATATAGACCTGCCATATGACACAATCATCCCTCCTCTGGGAATTTACCCAATGGAAATGAAATCAGCATGTGAAAGAGTTGTCTGTTCTCCATGTTTATTGCAGCTCAATTCACAATAGGTAAAATATGAAACCAACCCAAATGTCCATCAACTGAAGAATGGATAAAGAAATTATGGAGTGGGGCCAGAACTTTGGCACAGCGGGTTAATGCCCTTGCCTGAAGCACCAGCATCTGATACAGATGCCCATTCTAGTCTCAGATACTCCTCTTCTGATCCAGCTCTCTACTATGGCCAGGAAAATCAGTGGAAAATGGCTTAAGTCCTTGGGTCCCTGCACCCACGTGGGAGACCTGGAAGAAGCTCCTGACTCCTGGCTTCAGATCAGCACAGCTCTGGCCATTGTGGACATCTGGGGAGTGAACCAGCAGATGGAAGACCTCTCTCTTTCTGTCTCTACCTCACTCCGTAACTCTGTCTTTCAAATAAATAAAATAAAACTTTAAAAAAAGAGAGAGAGAGGGCTCCAAGATGGCAGAATAAGGAGGGAGCTCATTTATAGTCCAGCAAAAGATAGTTTAATGAAAGTCAAGATACTGTAGTCTCAGGGAAGAGTTAGGGGAAAAACAGCAGAGGAAACTCTTCCAGAATTAGAGGGACATGGTGGACATATGTGGAGGGCACAGGCACCCACGGTTTGGGACCCCACCTGCCAAGTCTACGCACCAGCACTGGAAAGGGAGGTGAGGCAAAACCACAGTAGCCAGAGACACTGGCAGAAAAGCAGCAGGAAGAGCCTAGAGGGAACGAGGCTTGAAACCCTATGGTGGAAAGTACACCAGCCTAACTAGAGGAGAGAAAAAAAAAATAAAAGTGATCAGTATGGACACGATTCTCCATGTCCATTCACCTTACAAAGGCGAACAAGACAATAGAGCGGGTGCCATTTTGGTCATACATAACAGATGCACCAGGTCGGGACTGTGCCCGCCCTCAACCAAGAAGAAAAACCTGACTCTGGTGGAGAGAAATAACAGGAGACTAAGACTAGTGAATGTGTGGAGCTTATGAACCGGGACTGTTAAAAAAAAAAAAACTGAGGGTGTGTGGGGAGAACTCACAGTGTGGTTGAGATATGAGTAGTCTCAGTGGGAGACACCACAAACTCGGTAGCCTTGGCTACCTGGTGAGAGACATTGCAGGGGAATCTGAGCTTCCACTGAGGACTGCACTGATCCTTTGTGTGGTCCTTGGAACAGAGCAGACGAATATTATACCCACTGGGGCTAGCACTCAGGCACTTATTGTCATCAAGGAGAAGAACTCAGCTGAGTGGAATTACTTTCCTTCTGAATTATAAGAGAGAGAGAAAAAGACAGAGAGAAGAGAGATTTACCACACCAAACCTGGGTGTGTCAACTTTGGCACACCCTTAACCCTGAAGAACTCTACAAGCCACACCCACTAGAACTGAACAGAGCCACACCCACCACAAGCCTCTAGAGATTCACCAAAAGCAAACAGTCCACTTAATCTAGAGTCACACTATAACGAGAAAGCCACCACAGTGGAAAAAAAAAAAAAAGCAAAGAAAGAAGAAACCAAAGAATATCTCCACAAAGCCAAACAACAAATGCACAAACAAAGGAAACAAGAACAAGGAAGACAACATGACATTCCCAAATGAACATGACACTCCAATACAAGATTATGAAGATGATGAAATAGAAGAAATGCAAGATACGGATTTCAAAACTATTATGGGCTGGCACCGTAGCTCAATAGGCTAATCTTCCGCCTGCGGTGCCGGCACCACGGGTTCTAGTCGCAGTCAAGGCACCAGATTCTGCTGTATGGGATACAGCAAAGGCATTGTTAAGAAGAAAGTTTATAGCAATTGGGTCCTACATCAAAATATTGGAAAGGCACCGAATAAACCACAGCTGAGAAAGAACTTCTAAGATCAATTCCATTCACAATAGCCACAAAAACAATCAAGTACCTTGGAATAAACTTAACCAAGGATGTCAAAAATCTCTATAATGAGAATTACAAAATCTTAAAGAAAGAAAGAGAAGAGGATACCAAAAAATGGAAAAATCTTCCATGCTCATGGATTGGTTGAGTCAATATCATCTTAATGTCCATTTCCCAAAAGCAATTTATAGATTCAATGCAATACCAATCAAATTACCAAGACATTCTTCTCAGATCTGGAAAAAATGTTGCTGAAATTCATATTGAAGCACAGGAGACCTCAAATAGCTAAGCAATATTGTACAACAAGAACAAAGCCAGAGGTATCACAATACCAGATTTCAGGACATACTACAGGGCAGTTGTAATCAAAACAGCATAGTACTGGTACAGAAACAGATGGATAGACCAATGGAACTGAATAGAAACACCAGAAATAAATCCAAACATCTACAGCCAACTTATATTTGATCAAGGATCTAAAACCAATTCTTGGAGCAAGGACAGTGTCTTGATCAGCCCTCATCCTGACTCTCAAGGAAAAACTTACTATTTTATTCCTTTAGTATTTTTTTTGTTCTACTTAATACCATTGGTTTAACTCTTCAATTAACACACAATTATTCTTAGACCTTTAAAATTAACTGAAAAGTGATCCCTGTTAAATGTAAGAATGGGAATAAGAGAGGGAGGAGATGTACAGTTCAGCACATGCTCAATCGGACTTACCCCTAAGGATAGAGTTAGAAATGTGCCAGGGGATTCCCAAAAAGACAATACCATATGTTCTCTCTTATCTGTGATAATAGAGCCCCTAAAAGGTAATCTATAGAAGTGAAATTGATACTTTGAGATGCAATGACTTTGAACAGCCCTTGTCTCTGCTGTTGACGAGCAGTTTTTTTTCCATATTATTTGTTAAACTCTTTACTTAGTATAGAGTTGACCATGTGTATATGAAAATTAGAAAACACTAATGAAAAAAATTGAAGAAGACATCAAGAAATGGTATGACCTCCCATGTTGATGGATTTGAAGAATTTACATTATCTAAGTGTCCATATTATTCAAAGTTATTCACAGATTCAATGCAATCATCATCGAAATACTAATAACACTCATCACAAAATTAGAAAAACAATAATAAAATTAATATAAAATACAAAAAACACTGAATGGCCAATAAATAGTGAATATTAAGAACACAACTGGTGGCCGGTGCCGCGGCTCAATAGGCTAATCCTCTGCCTTGTGGCGCTGGCACACTGGGTTCTAGTCCCGGTCGGAGTGCCAGATTCTGTCCCGGTTGCCCCTCTTCCAGGCCAGCTCTCTGCTGTGGCCAGAGAGTGCAGTGGAGGATGGCCCAAGTCCTTGGGCCCTGCACCCCATGGGAGACCAGGATAAGTACCTGGCTCCTGCCTTATGATCAGCGCAGTGCGCTGGCCGCAGCACGCCAGCCACGGCGGCCATTGGAGGGTGAACCAACGGCAAAGGAAGACCTTTCTCTCTGCCTCTCTCTCACACTGTCCACTCTGCCTGTCAAAAAAAAATAAAAATAAAAATAAATAAATAAATAAAAATTATTTTAAAAAAAAGAACACAACTGGATACATCACAATACAGGATTTCAAAACATACTATGGCTCTTTTGTAACCGAAGTCTCATGTTACTGACATAAAACAGACTTATAGATTAAATGGAATAGAACTTTAATATGTATAGGTAATTTATTATTTTGAGGAAATTTTCTTCTAGTCCTAAAGGTTGTAGTTTTTTAAGTATTTTTGTCATGAAAGGGTGTTGATTTTATCACTTTTCTACACAATCGTGATGATTATGTGGTTTTTGCCTTTCATTCGGTTATTCTGTTATATTACATTGATCAATGTATGTATATTTTTATTGTTTGTATATTGAGCCATCCTTGCACTCCAGAATAAATCCCACTTAGTTTTTGTACATAGCAGTTTTAATTTGCTGTCTATTTCAGTTCTCTAGTCTTTTTGTTGATGATTGTTGCATCATTCATCAGGAATATTGGTCTATAGTGTTCTTTTTTGTGGTGTCAGAGAGACCATATGATATTTTTTTCATAACTGGCTTATTTCACTATGTATATTGCTGTCCAGTTGCATCAGAATATGAAAATCATAAAGACAGAAAGTAGATAATGACCCCTAGAAGTAAAGAAGGAAGGACTATGGAGAGATTGTTAACATGTATAGGATCTTTTTTAGAGGATGATGAGAATTTTCTGGAATCATGGAGTGGTGATTTTGCAAAACTTTGTGATTATTGTTTAAACCACTGACCTGTGTCCTTTGAAATTAACTTTGTGATATATGAGTTATATCTTAATAACAAACATTTTAACTCAGACCAGTGACTTACATTATTGCTCATTCCTCACTGTTTTCTAAGATTACTTAAACACTTGGTGATGATCAGATATATCCCTCCCCTTAGGAAGACAGTCCAATGGAGGAGGCAGGTTTGATTAGAAGTTACCTTACTAGAATTTGTAATGCTTGTATTAAATGGAAGAGGAAAGGAACCTCAAGTTAAAGCTAAGTGACAATTAAACAATTGAGTGTTAATTGGTCCTTTGTTGTGTTCTTTCATCAGAAGGCTGGTGGAGTCTGCTCGGTGGCTGGTTACAACCAATCAGCTAGATGAAGGCACAAAGGCACTTAGAAGGGTTGCACGCATCAATGGAAAAAAGAGTGCTGGAGAGATCCTGACCATTGAGGTGATCTGGAAAGGGGAGTTGGGTACTGGGATAAAATGCCATGAACTCACAATCACCCTAGTCTGGATTCCTGGAAACACTGCAAACCCAGAATTAGAATTCTCTGGATGGGGTGTCACAACTCTGTCCTGATTCCCTGTGGATTCATCATGTGCAAAGGAGGATTAGGAATTAGTTGATAAAAAGGAAAAGGAAAAGCATTTCTTACAGCAAAGTGATTGATAGAGGCACAACAAATAGATATCCTCATATCAACTATGAAAGTAAATACCTTATAGAATAAAATGTGCATAAGGAAAAAAACAAAGATTCTATCCTCTGGCTCCAAATTATTTCAATACTCTGACATGATAAATGAATTGCAACATGCCAAATGTCCCCAGAAAATCTTATTTCATTATAACTCACGTTAAAAGTCTACAATCTTAACATTAAAATGAGGTTCACATGTGGATGAGACACATGTAGTTCTATTTTTTTTTTGACAGGCAGAGTGAACAGTGAGAGAGACAGAGAGAAAGGTCTTCCTTTTTTGCCGTTGGTTCACCCTCCAATGGCCGCCGCGGCCGGCGCACTGCGGCCAGCGCACCGCACTGATCTTAAGGCAGGAGCCAGGTGTTTCTCCTGGTCTCCCATGGGGTGCAGGGCCCAAGGACTTGGGCCATCCTCCACTGTACTCCCGGGCCACAGCAGAGAGCTGGCCTGGAAGAGGGGCAGCCGGGACAGAGTCCAGCGCCCCGACCGGGACTAGAACCCAGTGTGCTGGTGCCGCAAGGCAGAGGATTAGCCTAATGAGCCACGGCAACGGCAACATGTAGTTCTCTAACTATAGCATATTTGTATTTGTAGATCTTTAGAACTGAAGAGACAAAACGCCTGTCCTCAAGACATCTAACAAGCAATGAAAATGCAAGCATGGAATAACCACTGTAGACATCCATAGTCCAAATAGGGGAGAGATGTGAGACTGTGAGACACAAAGGAGCCCAGAGTAGTTATAAAATCCAGTTGGACAAATGTTAAATATTCCTTGAGTAGGTCTCAAGGCATGGAAAATGAAAGAAATGTGACTTTAAGCTATATCCCCCTGACTCCTAGATACAATCTCTGAAATGTGGTTCCTATTTCATTAAAGACAAAAATGTTTGCAGTTGAATGGTGTTCTCAGGGAGTTTCCCACCAGTAGCATTTTGGGGAACTCATGATCCTTTCATTTTGCATTCTTATTTTCAGTCAACTTGGCATTGTTTCTTTTGATAAGTATTTCTCAAAAACTGTGTGGATCTCCTATGAATCTTATTGTTGTTTATTTTATTAAGCAAAGTCCACCCTAGCAAATACCTTTGAGATAAGCTTGTATCTACCTTGGTTTCCTGCTGAGATGACGGAGAGGCATTGCATCTAAGTACCTGTTTGATTGAGAGGCACATTCTTAATTTCTTTAAAGGGCCCTTTATTTCTGAATTATACACTGACCCTTTGGTGTTTTCTATGAGATCTTGATAAAAACCATGTATGAGGTGATGGATATGCTAATTGCCCTGCTGTGATCATTATACAATGTGTACATGTATCCACATTTCACCTGGTATTCCATCAATAAGTCCTGTCACTGTGGGTCCATTAAAAATTAACTGAAACTTTTTTTAAAGAGAAACATCATACATTCACATGCTGGACTTTATCACTTGGCTAGGGTTTATCTCCACACCATGTTTTCCTGACAGCACTTCAAAGCCAATTCTAAATGTTAAAATGTCTAAATTTGCCACTTGGAAAGGCTGAGAAATAGAAGGACAATACAAAACATTAATGGAAAGTACATAGTATGAAAAAGCAATTATGCCTGAATTTCAAAAAATGTTTGCTCCAAAATAAACTTATCTTTTAATCTCATTTTTTCATGAGAGTTTGAGGTAGAAACTTAAGTTTCCTGAAGAAGCTCTTATTATTTCTTTTTGCTGACAATTTTTTCCTCAGTTTCTCTTTATCCCTTGCTTTTATTATTAGCAATATGAAGAAATCAAGAGACATCAATACTTGGATTGGAAATTTTCTTAGCTGAAAGCCAAGTTCATTAAGTCCATGTCATGTTTTCCACCTAACTAGAGTTAATGATCTTGTTAAATTTCTGCCATATTTTTTAAAGATTTATTTTTATTTATTTGAAAGACAGAGTTTCAGAGAGAGAGAAAGAGGTCTTCCATCCACTGGTTCACTCCATAGATGGCTGCAAAGGCCAGAGCTGTGCCCATCTGAAGCAAGAATCCAGGAGCTTCCTCAGGGTCTCCCATGTGGGTGCAGGGGCCCATTCCAGCAGAGAGCTGGAATGGAAGAGGAATATTCTTCCAATAAATGGATATGGGATGTCTTTCCACATATTTGTGCCTTCAGTTTCTTTCTTTCATCAATGTTTCATTATTTTCACTGTAAAAATATTTCAAATACAAAGTTAAATTTATTTCTGTATACTTTTCCTAGCTACTGCCCATGGGACTACTTTTATCACTTCTTTTTCAGTAAGATTTTTAATGTATAAAATTGCTTTAATTTTTACATGTTGATTTTATATCTGCAAACAGGAAATTAACTATCTCCTTTCTAATTTATAGTTTTTTATTTCTTTATTTTTGCTAATTGCTATAGCCAAAACAGTCTTATTCTAATAAGGGAAGGACAAGTCTCTCTTGCTCAGTGGATAGGACAGAAATCTTGAAACCTGAGCAAGTTCCCTTTGGCTTTTCCCTTTATAATATGTATTTTTTCTTTTTTTTTTATAAATTTTGACAGGCAGAGTTAGTGAGAGAGAGAGAGAGACAGAGAGAAAGTCTTCCTTTTTTCCATTGGTTCACCCCCCAAGTGGCCGCTATGGCCAGAGTGTTGCGGCCAGTGCACTGTGCCAATCCGAAGCCAGGAGCCAGGTGCTTCCTCCTGGTCTCCCTTGTGGGTGCAAGGCTCAAGGACCTGGGCCATCCTCCACTGCCTTCCCGGGCCACAGCAGAGAGCTGGACTGGAAGAGGAGCAACTGGGACAGAACCGGTGCCCCAACTGGGACTAGAACCTGGGGTGCCGGCACCACAGGGGGAGGATTAGCCTAGTGAGCCATGGTGCCAGCCTATATTATATATCTTTTAATCAATGCTTTTTGCCCCTTATGAGTTCAATATTTTGTAACAGGCTTTTTTCTTATAAAATTCCTCTGAGGTCCTATCTCTCATGATACATTTTGTAACTTTCCACCCAAGAGATAGATTACTTATAGTCCACACACCTCACTACTCAGAAGTGTCCATGAACATAGTAAACATCATGTCTGTCTCATTCTCTGAGACTCACCATTATGCCTTACAGACATCTCATAAGTGCTTGTTGTTGGTTTTATTGTTGAAGTTCGTGAGATCCGCCATGCAGGAGGAGCTGAACAAAGCCCAGACCAAAACTTCAGTTATTCACTTGCTCCGTGCACCCAAACTGCGCATGATAATATGCTTCTTGAGCTTCATAAGGTGAGTTCCATTGGTTGATGATTAAATTTCAAATATTGGAGATGCAGATGACTTTATTCTTTCAAAAATATTAGCAGAATTTTTGGTGACAAGTGAATACATAAGAGAAAAGAAAGTGATATAAAATGTTTGTTTTAAAGTGCCACATTGTAGGATAGCCTAACAGTGTAAGATTCACCTAACCTTACTACTTAGATGTATTCCAGCACAGCGTGTATCACTGGAGAGTAGGATGAAGAGAAGCTTTAGCATAAAATATACTTTCACCTTTTAAAATGTTTTACAGACAGAAAACTTAAACAAGTGAAAAACACAAATCTTAAGTATTCATCTATATAATATTTTATTGTCTTTAGTATTTTACTTGTTTAATACTGCCACATTCACTTAAAATATAGACATTATATAAATCCACATATATACTATTTTATCTTGAAAAGAGACATTAATATCAAAGTGAGAGATTCATTACAATGATCATAACATAGCAAAAGAAGAGTATATTGTCATTTACATGGTATGATTTAGTGAACCAGTATTTATAACTAAATACCAAATGATATGCCATCAACACAATTTTTATACTAGATATATATCTAGATAGATAGATAGATAGATAGATAGATAGATATTACCATCCACAAATAGGAGAAAGCATGTGATATTCTCAGGAGAGGAATAGTTGGGTCATATTGTAAATCCATTTTTAGTTTTCTGTGGAATCCCACCCTGTTTTCTGTAATATTTGTACCAAATGATATTCCCACGAAGAGTGTATCAGGATACCTTTTTCCCTAAAATCTTAGCAGCATCTGTTATTTGTTAATTTTTAGATGATAGCCATTCTAACTAGAGTGAGATAATACCTCATTGTGGTTTGTATTTGCATTTCCCTGATGGTTAGTGATCTTGGGCATTTGCTCATGTATCTGTTGGTCATTTGTACTTCACTCTTAGAAAATTTCCTGTTCATATCCTTTGCTCATTTCTTAATTGGGTTATTTGTTTTCTTGGTTTTGAGTCTGTTGAGATCTTTATACATTCTGGATATTAATCCTTTATTGAATGTATAGTTTGCAAATATTGTCTCTCATTCTGTCAGTTGCCTCTTCAATTTGCTGTTTCTCTTCCTGTGCAGAAGCTTCTTAGCTTGATGTAATCCCATGAGCCTATTTTTCCTTTCATTCTCTGTGCTACTGAGGTATTATACAAGAAATCTTTGCCTAGACAAATATATTGTAGTATTTTCCTTATGTTTTCCCCTAGTATATTAATGATGTCATATCTTTAATTTATATTTTTGATCCACTGTGAGTTTATTTTTGGTTACTCTATAAGGTAAGGGTCTTGTTTCAAACTTCTGTGTATGGGAATACAATTTTCACATCACATTTATTGAAGAGACTGTCATTTCTCCACGGATCAATTTTAGACCACTTATCAAGGATTAGTTGCACTGCTTTTCCAGGCCACAGCAGTGAGCTGGGTTAGAAGTGGAATATCCTGGACTCGAATTGGCACCCATGTGGGATGCCAGAGCTATAGGCAGCAGCTTTACCTGCTATGCCACAGTGCTGCCCCCCACAACAGTCTCTTAAGTGCAGTCCTTGGTCCCCCTCTATGAAGGATCATATCATCTACAAACAGTAATAATCTTACTTCTTCCTCTTCAATAACTATCCCTTTGATTTCTTTTTCTTGCCTAATGGCTCAGGCTAAAACTTCCATAATTATAATAATCATAGTGAGGGTGGGTATCCTTGTCTGGTTTCAGACAAGCTTTCAACTTTCCTCAGGTCAATATAATGCTGGCTGTGGGTCTGTCATGTACTGCCTTGACTTTGTTGGGGTATGTTCCTTCTATATCGAGTTTTTTAATGTTTTTACAAAGAAAGGATGTTATATTTAATTAAATGCTTTGTCTACATATATTGAAAGAATCATATGATTTTTATCCTTCATTTTATTGATGTGATGTATCATGTTTATTGATTTCTGTATGTTGAACCATCCCTGCATGCCTAAGATGAATCCCATTTGGGCAGGGTGGATGATCTTTTTTGTTGTGTTATTGGATTAAATTTGCCAGTATTCTGTTGAGGATTCTTGCATCTATGTTTATCAGGGATATTGGCCTGTAGTTCTCCTTATTGCTGTATCTGTCTCTAGCTTTGGAATTAATGTAATGCTGTCCTCACAGAATGAGTTTGGAACTGTTCCCTCCCTTTCAATTGTTTTGAATAGTTTAATAAGAATTGGTGTTAGTTCTTCCTTATTTGGTCGAATTCAGCAGTGAAGTCATCAAGTTCTGGGCTTTTCTTAGTTGGGAGGCTCTTCATTATAGATTCAATCTGAGTTTTGTTATTGGTCTATTCAGGTTTTCTATCTTTGTGCCTCATTTGAAGTAAATTATGTGTCCAGAAATCTACCCATTTTTCTAAATTTTCCAATTTGTTGACATATAGTGGTTTGCAATAATTACCAATGGTTTTTTTGGTATTTCTGTGGTATCATTTGTAACATGTCCTTTTTCATCTCTGATCTTATTGAGTTGTCTCCCTTTTTCTGGTTAGTTGGCCCAACAGTTTATTATTTTTGCTTATTTTTTCAGAAAACAACTCTTCTTCATTTCACTAATCTTTTGTAGGTTTTTATTTCTATTTTATTTCTTTCTTCTCTAATTTCTATTCTTTCTTTCCTTCTACTAATTTTTGGGTTTAGTTTGTTCTTATTTTTCTAGGTCTTTGAGATGTGTTGTTAGATCATTTATTTGAAGCCATTCCAGTTTCTTAATGTAGCACTAATTACTAGAAATATTCCTGATAACACTGCTTTCCTGTATCTCCTATGTTTTGATATGTTGTGCTTTCAATTCAATTTGTTTCAAGAAACTTTTTTTATTTCCCTTTTGATTTTTCTATGATCCACTGTTCATTCCGGGACATGCTGTTCAGTTTCCACATATTTGTATATTTTCTAGAGTTTCCTTCATTGTTAATTTCCAGCTTCATTTCACTGTGGTCAAAAATATGCATGATATGATTTCAATTTTGTTCAACTTGCTGACACTTGTTTTATGGGCTGTGTATGGTCTATCCTGGAGAATGTTCAATCCACTGATGAAGAGAATGTTTACTCTGCAGCTGTGGGGCAAAATGTTCTGTAGATATCTATTAGGTCCATTTGGTCTATAGTGTAGAATAGCTCTGGTTTTTTGTTTGTTTTTGGTCTGGTTGATCTGTACATTGATGAATGTGCAGTGTTGGGGTCCTCTATTATGTTTGTATTAGAGCTTATGGCTCCCTTTTTTTTAACTTTTATTTAATGAATATAAATTTCCAAAGTACGATTTATGGATTACAATGGCTTCCCCCCAATACCGTCCCTCCCACCCACTACCCTCCCCTTTCCCACTCCCTCTCCCCTTCCATTCACATCAAGATTCATTTTCAATTATCTTAATATACAGAAGATCAGCTTAGTATACATTAAGTAAGGATTTCAACAGTTTGCTCCCACACAGAAACATAAAGTGAAAAATAATAGATGATTTTTTTTAATGATGATGAAATCAGATCAGACCTATTGTCATGTTTAATCCCAGTGAGAGTCAAGTTGGGAGTTGATAATTTCTTTTTTTTGGCTCCCTTTAGATCCATTAACATTTGTGTTATGAAACTGGGTGCCCTGACATTGAGTACATATAAATTTATGATAGGCACATGTTTTGTTGAATTTACCACTTAATCATTACATAATGACCTTCTTTGTGTCTTTTAAGAGTTGTTGTTTTAAAGTCTAATTTGTCTGATGAGTATAGCTACTCCTGCTGCTTTTATTTTTTATTTTCATTTGCATCAAATATCTTTTTCCATGCTTTCACTTTCAGTCTCTGTGTATCTTGATTGGTGAAGTTGTTTCTTATAGGTAGCATATAGATGGGTCTTGTTTTTTAATCCATTCAGTCAGTCAGTGTCTTTTAATTGGAGAATTCAGCCCATTTACATTCAAGGTTATTATTGATAAGTAATTACTTGGTCTTGATGTTTTCCATAAATATCCCTACTTTTTAACCACCTTTGTTCTTTGACTAGGAGGTTTTCTGCCTTCACAGTCTTTCATACTGCTGATCTATGTGAAGCACATCCTTAAGTATCATTTGTTAATCTGGCTGGGTGGTGAAAAATTATTCCAATTTTTGCATGACTTATAGGGTCTTTATTTCACCTTCATTTATGAAAGAGAACTTTACCATGTAAAGTATTCTGGGTTGGCAGTTTTTCCTTTTAGGACTTGGTCTATATCTCTCCATTTTCTCCTGACCTGTAGGGTTGTTGTTGAGAAATCTGTCAATCTGATGAGAGTTACCTTAAAGGTGATCTGGCATTTCTCTCTCACACATTCTATATTTTGCTTTTGAAAGTTTGGTTATAATGTGTCATGGTAAGAATGTTTTCTACTCGTGCTTATTTGAAGTTTTATGAACTTTCTGTATTTGAATGTCAATATCTTTCTCCAAACTGGAGAAATTTTTGATATTGTTTCATTGCATAAGTTTTCTAAGCCATTCTTTTCTTTGTATTCCTTCAGGATCTCGTAAGACTCATATATTTAATTCTTTGATGATATTGCATAGATTCCAAACACTGTTTTCATTCTGGTTTTCTTGTCTCTCTTTTGGTCTGCCTAAGACGGTTTTAAAGTCCTATCTTCTTGATCCAATATTCCTTCTTCTGCCTCTTCAAGTCTATTGCTAAGATTTTCCAAGGTATTTTTATTTTACTTTTTGAATACTTCATTTTCAATAGTGCTGTTTGGTTCTTTTTCAATAGCTCTATATCTTTGCTGAATTTCTTATCATTGCCTATACTTATTTTCTAATTTCATTTAACTGTTTCTCTATATTTTTAGTAACTTTACAATCATTCTTTTGAATTCTTTTTCAGGCATTTTGTCAGTCTCCCCTTCATATTATTGTGTTCCTTTTGGGGAGTCATATT